CCACTCTCACTCTCCTGGCTCCATGGCAGCAGCGGTGCGAGGCAGTGAGTGGTCATGTGGACGCTGTACATTCTTGAATGCTGGCGCAGCACCTCGCTGTTCCATTTGTGAGGCCCCACGCCAAAAACCTGACCTTAACCAGATCCTGCGACTGAGCAGCACTGAGGAGCATCGCTGGGCCTGCCCCCGCTGTACCCTTAACAATCCCCAGGGATCTGGAGCCTGCTCAGTCTGTGGCTTTGGACCATCCCCTGCCACTCACACACCCCCTACCACCACCATAGCTGCCACCGCCAATGGCCTGCCGTCTGCTCTGACCGAAACTCCAACACCAACTCTCCTTCCCACAGTCCTGCTTGAGCCTCACGGGCAGCATCCAGCTAAAGAGGAAGTGCTACGACGGTCCGAGAGCAATGGAGAGGTGGGCAGCCTGGAGGTGCAGCAGTCAGGGTGGGCTTGCCCTCGTTGCACACTCCACAACACTCCCGTGGCTCTGTCGTGCTCAGCCTGTGGTGGCCCCAGAAAACTGTCTTTGCCTAAAATCCCCCCAGAGGCACTGGTGGTGCCTGAGGTGCGCACGCCTGTGCTGGGATTTCCAGTTCACACAGCAGGGGCTGCCCCACTTCTCATAGACCTAACAGATGACTCTCCTCCACCCCCTCCCTGTGATCCTCAAGAACCTCCCCATGTGTCCTCACAGTCCCTCTCCTCCCCTTTTACTTCTTTCTCTTCCCTCCAGAATAACCCAGTGCCCAGAAGCAGGAGAGAGGTGCCCCCTTCAGGGCGCCCACCAAACGCAGGCACCAACACTCCCAGTCCCACTTCACCATCAACGGCCACTGTGCCACCCCAACCAGGCCCACAGCGACCAGCCAAGCCCAAACATGCCCAACCCCAGGAACCCTCATACCCCAACAAGCGACTCAGTATCTTGGAGGAAGAAGACCCTCAGCACCACCCACTGACCCCACACCTCCCTGTTGCTTCCACAGCTGCCCCTACCTGGAAGTGCCCTAGTTGTTCTTTGCCCAATCCAGGTAACTCATCTAAGTGTGAGGCCTGTCGATCATCTCGGGCAGGCGCTGAC